GTCTCTGGGGCCAGATGTTATAGGGCAAGCTAAAAATAACCAGGCGGCAGGCCACCCCTGGGGGGTGGGGCTGGGGGTGGGGGCATGTGCTGGGCGTGGACAAATGATCGGAGGGGGAGCTAAGAGAGTCTGGCAGACCATGCACACTTCTGCTCCCCATTCAACGGACCCACCTGGCAAGGGGGCCCTCTTCTCTGAACATCTGGGAAGAAACCCCTCCACCAGCTGCAGGATGGGCAGCAGCAGAAGGAAGGTCATCTGGGTCCTGTGCTCATTGCTGCTGCTCCTTGAAGCCAGTTCTGCCAAGAACATTTGGAAACGGGCATTGCATGCGAGGCTGGCTGAGAAACCCCACGTAAGTGCCTGGATAGGGAGACCGGGAGGAGATGGGCCATCCCCAGACGCTGTTGGTTCTGTAAGCGCTCCCCCAAACACAGGCGGGGCAGGTGTCTTTCTTCATCAAAGTTGGGCGGTGGGCAGATGGAACTCATGTCTTCAAAAGGCTCCTTGCCTGGCAGCAAAGATGCAAAGAGAACATCAAAAGTGTGCAAGGGGCCTGTGATGTGCTTTTGCCTAATGAGTATACTTTCTCCTGACAAGCAGCACCGGGGTCCAAGGACTTAAAGCTGAGCGCTGTCTCTCAGCAATCAATAACCAAAGTCGTATGCAATGTACGCATGCGTTCATGCAGGTATTTACTCACTCAGTAAACGTTTACTGGAAACTGCTCTGGGCCAGGCACTGTGGGGGGTCCAGTGGGTACAAGACGGTAATACCAGCTCCCACCCTTCAGGGCAGCATAGGCAAGTGGGGGAGGCAGTCAGGTGACAGGTGGTGGCAGAACAAAGGGATGGCATGGCATAACAAGTGACAAGAAGCATGTGCCCCGGAGCCAGGTGTCTGGGTTTGAACTCAGGCTCTGCTGCGCACCAGCTGTGTGACGTCAGGCAAATTGTTTGGCCTCTCTGAGCACCAATGATCTCATCTGCTCATTTGAAAAAGACAGAATGATACGTTTCTTTCAACAAACCTGTTTGCTCACCACTGTTTACCAGGCACTGTCCTTGGCTGTGGGGATACAGACATCAGATCCCTGTCTTCAGGAATCCACGTTAGGAGAGGCAGAGAATAAGTGAGAAATAAAAGGAAAACATAGTGAGTTTGGTGACAAGTGCCAAGGGGAGATATAAAGCAGGAAGGGGACTAGGAGAGAGGGTAGGAGGGGGGAGGAAGGTGCAGTTTTAGATCCTCCCCACCCCGAAGCACAGAAGCATAGAAGCGCCAAGGAGATAACACCAGCACCCAGCATATGTGTGACATCAAATGACTCAATATGCATAAAGTGCTTACCTAGCACATAGCAAGTGGTCAGTGCATGTGGGTGACATTTAATTAAATAATGGTGAAATCCGTTGATGCTTGCCTCCCCAGGTGGAATATAGGTTCCTCAGGGTACAGTCTAATTCTGTCTCATTTAATATAGTTCCTGATGCCTTGCCAGGTGGCTGTCATTAAGTTGGTGCCCAATACATTCTTGTGGAAAATTATGGGCAAATGCAATGGAAGCACAGGAGAACTTATGCAGCTCTGCCTCAGGAGAGTCAGGGAGAATTTTCCAGGGTTGAGGGCATTCAATCTGGGGCTTTGAAGGATGAATAGGAGTTTGCCAGGTAGAAACATGGGAAAAGGATGTTTAATGAACCTAGGAACTATGGGGTGTACTAAACTATATTGAGGCTAATCTCAGCCTCCAGGGCTTACATTCTATAGGCCATGCAGGAGGTCACTGGGATTGAAAAAAAGTAGTAGTGGCTGAAATGATGGTAGGTGTTTGGAAGAAGAAAAGCTCATGTGAGATGGTATAGTCACAGAAGGCTTCCTGGAGGAGGTGAGACCCTGGCCAGATCTTGAAGAATTATTAAGAATTTGGAGAGCTTGGCTGGTGTGGCTCAGCGGTTGAGCATCGACCTATGAACCAGGAGGTCATGATTCGATTCCTGGTCAGGGCACGTGCCCAAGTTGCGAGCTCAATTCCCAATGTGGAGCATGCAGGAGGCAGCCAATCAATGATTATCTCTCATCATTGATGTTTCTATCTCTCCCTTTTCCAGTCCTCTCTGAAATCAATAAAAATATATTTTAAAAAAAAAGAATTTGGAGAAAGGAAAAACAAAAAAGTTGAGAAAGGCCATTCCTGGAAGAAGAGTCAATGTGGGTGGAGGGTTGGGGGCAGAACTGGTGTCTCAGAGCCCTGAGGGGGAGTCCTTCCTATGGGAGAGGGCTGTGTGTGGAAGGAGGGAGAGGGACCCTCGGGTTTCACTGCTCCATGTTGTTTGCTGGCCTAAAGGATGATTGCATCCTCCTAGGTGTTAGCACTTGGTACCACAGAGAGATTTCTGATGCATCACCTGGTCTTAGCTCCACCTAGTTGTGGGGTGTCCTAGGAGCAGACATCTCACGGGGAGGAATGGCAAGTCTGGGGGTGTTGAGGATAATATGCTCAGGGGATGGGGTAGTCTCTTTAAAAACACAGGCCTGGCCCTGGCCAGATGGCTCAGTTGGCTGGAGCATCATCCTGTACACCAAAAGGTTGCGGGTTCAATTCCCAATCAGGGCACCTAGGCTGCGGGTTTGATCCCCGGTTGGGGTGTATACGAGAGGCAACCAATTGATGTTTCTCTCTTACATCGATTCTCTCTCTCTCTCTCTCTCTCTCTCCCCCCTCCCTTTCTGTCTCTCTAAAAATCAATTTTAAAAAACCCCACACAGGCCTGGGTGGGCCTCAGAAACTGAGTCAGTTGCTTCTAGTCATCATTTGTCAGGAGCAAGCACTGAAGTGTGCCCCTCGCTGGGCTGGAAGGCTCTCTGGTGAGCACCAGCACCAGCACCAGCACCCTCCCCGGCGCCCAGTGCTGAGGCAGGAGAGGTTAGAACAAGAACTGCCTCAGAGCAAGCCCCTGGGGAACGACAGCCTGTTGACTTGTGGCTCATTGGATAGGGAGGCTGGAAAGGGTCCAGGCCCAGGAATTCATCTCAGCAGCATCTCTAACAAGCTGTGCAGCCTTGGGCTACTCACTGCCCCTCTCTGAGCCTCAGGCTGTTGCCTGGGAAATGAAGGCAGAGGACCAGATGGCTTCCAGGCCCCTTTTCATTCTGATTCTAACTCCCAAGCAAATGTTCAATAAGGAAGTTAAAGGTCCTAGGAAGCAGACCCCACACACTCAGAGACAGGACTTTCCCATGTGGCCCCCGCTGCTCCTACCCCAAGCTCAGTCAGACCTTCAGCCCTGAGGGCAAGTCAAGGTGGGGCAAGGCCAGGGTCAGGAGCAGCACGCTGAAGCCAGGTTGGACCCACTTGGAGAGTTAAACAGAGCCCTTACTAAAGGGTAAATCATGTGATTTAAATTGTAAAAAGGAAGGAAGCCCTCATTAGAAATGGATCACTTCCTACGTATTCCACTACCTCTCACTACTCTTTCTGCTCTCAAGATTGCTTATGTCGATGGTATCCGTATGGTGGAAACAGTAGATATTGAGGAACTATTGCTTCTCCTCATTCAGCACCCTCCGTAGGTGGCTAGAAACCTGTCTCGCTGGGAGTCTCAGCCCATGGACACCACCAGCAAAGGCTGCACCTGAGAGCTGGTTGTTGACGCTGACCAACCGTTGGCCGTCTGCCCCCTGCCGCAGGCACCCTCTCTCACCTTCTCAAAGCCCTGTCCCTCGGCAGAGTGGGCAACGGGCCCGAGGAATTTCCTGAACACTGTGTACGTTACAGCCCGGGACTCAGTGCCAGAAGGGACGGCATGCCTTCTATTCCCACAGGACCCCTCGGGAGGCCTGCAAGGAGGAGGCTTCTCCTCGCTGGGCCTCAGTTCCCTCCTCTGCAGCACTGGAGCGCCTGCTGTGCAGTCCAACGAGAAGACGACGGAGAGCCTTGAGCTCCGTGCCTGGCAACGAGCCACCCTCTCCACATCTGCACTATTCAAAACAAAACAAACGCAGAACCAAATGTTTATGAGGCTAGATAAGACAGAGTGGAATGTTTGTAAGTAGCCTAGTGGCCTTTTCTGGGAGCTCAGGGTCAGTCGTGGGGAGCTGGTGTTTGGGGCTTCTTTCCTGGCATGTAATGAACCTCATAAGAACAGTTCTTTCCTGACCGTTTCCTATGCGTCAGGCCAAGCGCTGGCCATGCATTAACTTGCAGGATTCTCTCAATGCATCTACCAGGTGGGGACCATTGCCCCTGCCATGTCAGCCTGCAGACCCGCTGGCCCGATGATCCCAGCATGTGGCTGTGCTGTGGGTCTGTTTTGCCCCTACGCTCCCATCCAGGGCAGCGGCAAGTAGCTGTGCAGTCTGCACCCTGCCCAGTGGAGGGGACCGTGAAGGGCTGCAGCAGCCAGGAGCAAGGGGCGGACCGCTTTGTCATGCATCCTGCTCCCAGGGCGCCCTTTGCGCTTGTCCACCCGGAGCTGCAAAGCGGTTTGGGGTGGGTGGTCACGTCCTAGGCGGGCGTCTTCCCTGAACTGGGGCTGTCTATTGCCGTTTTGCATCCACAATAACAGCCTTTGGTGATGAGCACAAAAGCCCTGCAGGACCTGGCAGCCCGCGCGTGTCCCTCAGGCTCCCCGAGCTGGTCCTTCTCTCCCTTGTGGCTCGGTTTAGTTTCTCTCAGCTGCATGAGCTGGGCTTGTCCCCGGTGTGAGGTCCTAGTTTTGGGGCACCTCTCCCAGGAAGTCCCTGTAGCCGTGCACCAAACCCTGCTCTGAGCCCAGTGCTGAGGTCCCAGGGCATCCGGAAATGGCATTCGCCAGTGCACACGGAACCCTATGTCCTCTGTTCTAGGGAGAGACATATTTTTAGATCTTTGACGTCCAAATTCCTAAGGAAGAGTGAATAATGCTTAGAGGAACATTGGCTTTCTTCCTGTACCACACAAACGAGTCCTGGGGTGCACTTTTATTGGCCCGGACCGTTAAGTTGCCGGAACATTCCAAAGAAAGGGAAAGCTCTTGCGAATGGAATGAATGGGGTGGGGACTCGGGTAAATTGGGAGGGGTCTGGAGATTGGATTTTTTCTCCTTAAATGGAAATGGCTTCAAATTTTTTCCTGATTACAAAAATGATGTTTATTGTAAAGAAATACAGACAGACTGTCCTAAATAAGTAAAAATAATTTAAACTCTTCCTCTGACATAAGCTCTGTTGACATTTTAGGGTGTGTTTGCCTAGACTTTAATGAAGCCGTTATATTCCACACACACATTTTTTTTCTTAATAGGATTTTACTCGTATTGTCTTTTAGAGATTTTCATTAGGATAAGATTCACATAACCATTTTAAAATGAATAATTCACTGGCATTGAGGACATTCATGATATTGTGCAGCCACCACCTCTATCTAGAGCCAAGACATTTCCATCACCCCAAAAGGAGACCCCAGGCCCATTAAGCCGTCACTCCCCACGCCCCTGGCAACCACCTACAGTGGGACCTTGACTTACAAGTGTCCCGACTAACGAGTTTTTTGAGATACCAGCTATCTCTCGGCCGATTTTTTGCATTGAGTAATTTGAGTTAACGAGCTCCTTAATGAGCTCAGTCTCGGCATAACCATTTTAAAATGAATAATTCACTGGCATTGAGGACATTCATGATATTGTGCAGCCACCACCTCTATCTAGAGCCAAGACATTTCCATCACCCCAAAAGGAGACCCCAGGCCCATTAAGCAGTCACTCCCCACGCCCCTGGCAACCACCTATCTGCTTTCTTGTGGCGAGCCGGCACAGCCATGGCATACTCAGCCCCTGGGCGCCTCATGTGCTGCGCCAGCTCAGCCTGGTTCAGTGACCCTAAGAGGGGGCGGTGAAGGATTAAGAAAAGACAGACAAGAGAAGAAAGCTGGGTCTGGGTAGGACACTGATCCGGGATGGAGAGACAGTGCCATGGACTATGAGCCATGTCTTTATTTTATAGACAGATTCCACGAGGCAAAGTAAGGGCGTGCTCAAAATGTTTACAACATTCTCGTGGGTTTCGATCCTACTCAACTACATGCACCTGAACTCTATCAAGCCCACATCACTCAGGCACGTGGGGCCACGTGTTCGGACCATAGGTTCAAGCTTACAACTAGAGCTGTTGTCTATAATTGTGCTGGGAGGGCCCTGCCCTCCAAGCTGGGACTTGCACGTGGCCATGAGAGGACTGTGCCCTCTCATTAGTCCAAGGCTTGAACCTGTCCAAACACTGTAGCCGCTCTCCACACTTTCCATCTCTCTGCATTTGTCTATCTGAGACACTTCATATAAAGGGAATCATGTAGTGCATGGAATTGTGCCTGGCTTATTCTTACCGTTTTGTACGTTGTGTTTGTCATTGAACATAGATGGTGCGTGTGTTAATATGGTAGATCTGTGTCCCCTTTTCAAAGGCTTCTATGGTGTTCCGAGGTCCAGATGTGCCATTATCTATTTATCCAGCCTCCTTTGGCTGGACATCCTGGAATCAGACTTAGACTAGCAGAATTTGGCTTCCTACCAACGCAGCCAGAACTGACATTTCCCGAACCTACTTGCCTAGTAGCAGCAGAATGGCTTTGCACATCTACAGAGGCCTCCAAGGCTATCTCCCCAGGGAGGGGAAAGTGGCCACCAGGCCATTGACGTTACGAGAGTCATTCATATCCGAGGAAGGCAGGCAGTACTGGAAGCGCCCACTGGAAATGTGTGTCGCAGCTGCTTGATAATAGACCTGCTGTCCAGCCCCTTAGCGGGAATGGAAATAACAGATCAAGATCCCAGGTTCCTCTGGGGTTTTCATGAAGGATGTTGTCAGCCATTTGACCGGAGGGGTTTGACCTGCCATTATTTTATTCAGACTCAGTGGCAGTGGAGGGGCGGGCGGGCTGGGGCTGCAGAGAGTGTAGGTACCTGTGACACAGGTGGGAACAAAACCAAGTCCTGTATAAGGGGAGAAAAACAAGAAACTGATGAGTCTGTCAAACACAGTGCTCCCATGGTGACCAGGGGTTTGGAGCTGCTTAAAGGCCAGAGCCAGGCGGGCATCTTGGGTGAGAGGCCCAGCCCAGGCAAAGGCCCAGCTGTGGACTGGGCTTATCGTGTGCCAGGGGCCTCACGGAGGCCAGGGCACTGGACGGGAATGAGCAAGGGCAGAGTGGTGGGAGGGAGGACAGAGACGTGGAAGGGTTGGGGGCAGCTCAGGTCTGATCTTTAGGCCAAGGACTTTGGCCTTTAGCCCTTCGACACCCACCCTCCCCTGTGGGCTGGGAAGCCATTGACGGGTGATCTATTTATTTCTTTGATAAAAAGTCCATTCTTTCTCAGAACTCCAGGAGACATCCTTTGTTTAGAACCTTCTTTGAGTATCACCTTGCAGAACATGAAATATTTTCCCAAGCATTTCATCCTTTAATCTGGGCCCCTTGGGGAAATCAGTCCTTTATCGCCCACCGCCATCTGTTGTCTCCAAGGCACCATCTAAATAACTCGGGGAGATTTGACTTCTAAGGCGCTTATCTCTTTTGTTCTCTTCAAATTCTGTGAAACGTTTGAACTTTCCTCTGAGAGCAGTGGCACATCTAAAATTGATCTCTCCACACCCCTTCTGTTGGGGGTGCCATTAGGGGAGTACTTGCCTGGGAGGCGTCGAAGGTGGGTGAAAAATATTTCATTTCTTATTTCCAGTTTCCATTAAATTTCATAAATGGGGCTTGATATAAAAACAGGCTACGTGGAAAAACCAACCGGCTCCTCCAGACCAGGCATGGGCATTCCCATCACCCTTGGAAGGAGGCCGGGGCAGTTGTCACATTCGATTAGGATTTAAAAGGCGGGACCCCGACATGAGTCCAATGTCGTTAATTCTGAAGAAAATGAATTAAGGGCTAATGGTGTAGGATTATGCCCGCTGCTTGCAGCTTGGAAATTATTCACAATGACACTGGGAATTCAGGGGCCTGGGCTGAGCAGGGCACAGTGAAAAGGCTGAACCCGGAGACAGCAGTTCCATGCTCCCATCTTCCCTTTGTTTGGGGGAAGAACCACCAATCTCCTGAAGCCTTCCATTCCTTATCTGCACATGTTGGCTTTGTGCTCGTTTTTACTTTTCACAAATTTGACAACCAATATTAGGAAGAAAAGATGAATTCTCTGGGTGAAGCTGGGGTGGGGACCAGAGACCCACCCTGTCCAGGCTCTTTGGAGAGCAGGGGTGGCGGTGAGGGGTCCTGGGAGGAAGTTTGAAAAACACTAGACCTTGTAATTACACCAATTCCAAAATGTGCCTGCTGGGGACCTATTCTCGGTGGCCTGACGCCCTCTACAGGACATTAGGAGTAGCGCATGGACTTTGCCGCCACCGCAATAGCTGTGTGGGAAGGATGTTTAGGTATCCTTGACCTTCTGTCTTTTTAGTTGAGATCAGATGACATATGCCATTTTGTATCTTGCCTGCTCTCTCTCTCTCTCTCTCTCTTTTTTTTTACTAACATATCATAAGTGTTTTTCCTGTCATTAAACATTCTTCGTAGGTGCTTCTAAATGTTTAATTGTTTTCTTTAAATTGAAAAATATAACGTGCATGACAAAACTCTTTTGCACTAGCTATATAAATAATAAAATAGTGAGGAATGAGGAGAAATCTCTCTTGGCTTCAGAACCTAATTCTTCTCTCCAAAGGCAATCCTTGCTAACAGTTTCTTGTGTATTCTTGTATATCCTTCCAAAAAAATATTCCAGGCCTATCTATATATATAAAAAGCTAATATGCAAAGTGTCCCCTTGGGAGTTCGACCGGGAGACCAGGAGTTTGTTTGCTCTCTATGATGTGTGCTGACCACCAGGGGGCGGCACGGAACCAAGGAAGGCCTTGGCCGGCAGCTGGAAGGCCCCGATCGACCCTGATCACGGGCCAGGCCTAGGAACCCTACCTGTGCACAAATTTCGTGCAACGGGCCTCTAGTACAAATATATACATATTACATGTGTGCATATGTATATTTGAAAACATAGTTAGGTGCATAGCAAACAAACTGTTCTTTACCTTAATTTCTTCACGAACCATAATGTCTTGGTGATCTTTCATAAGCAGGTTAGGGGTAGGTTTTGACAGCTACATACTACTCCAGTCTGCAGACAGGCATGATTTACTTGGACAGCACAGGGGGTGGGATTTTGAAATATGTGTGCAGGGGAACGAGTGGATTTATAAATAGGAATTTAGATGACAGGAGCAGTTTTGGATAGGCCAGGGGGCAGGGCAAGCTAGCGTGTTTCTTCTCAATGAACCTGTTCTATATCTAACTGTGTGTGTGTGTGTGTGTGTGTGTGTGTGTGTGTGTAGGGATGTATAAGATCTGTCCTACACACACCCCACTTTCAAATCCAGAAGCAGGACAGTGTTCCTGGTATGGATGGGGTCAGAGAGGCCCAGGGCGAATTGCCTGGTGTGACAAACTCCCCCAACCTCCCCTCTAGCATACTTCTTTTATTAGTCATGTGCCTGCATGTCCTATATGTTAGGTACTGTGTCTCATTGACTTTTATTGAAATATAATACCAAAAAGCCCAAAGAATCATGTGGCCTACTCCACAAATCTGCACCAAGTGAACCAGCAAGAAGCAAGGGCCAGCCTCCAGCGACCCTAGTGCTCTCCTAGTCACCAATCACGAGTGGCCACTATCCTAACTTCTCTCACCAGACAACAGTTTTGCCTCTTTTTGAACTAAAATATAAACAGATTTGTGTTCTCTTGTGAGCTGGCTTTTTAAAAAATTAATATTATGTTTGTGAGATTTACCCAAGTTGTATGAATTTATCCATTCTATGTATGAATTGTAAATTCTTAAAGCCCCATGTGGATTATAAGGTATATATGAATATATAGAAATATATGTGTATGTACATACATAGGCATGTTTTTATATATACATATAGACACACATATATACCCTGTTATATATAGACTAGAGGCCCAATGCATGAAATTCGTGCTAGGGGCTCGGCCCTCGCAGCTGCGGTGGCTTGTCTCAGACCTCACAGCCCAGCTTCATCCAGAAGGACGTCGGTAAGGTCGTTTGGCTGTCTGGTCTAATTAGCATGTTATGCTTTTATTGTTATAGATGTATAAAGTGTATGTGATGTATATGTGTGTATATATTGGGATCGATGCTTAACATACAAACTGCTCACATTCGTTTGTCCTTTTGGCTGCTGTTGGGCTTGCCCTCATCTCAGTTGGGGGCTCTTACAAAGAGAAACATCTGTTAATCCTCAGAGCAACCCGCCCAGGCTGCTTCTGCTGTGTTTACACTAAGACTCAAGCTCAGAGAGGCCCAGCGACTTGCCCACTGCGCACAGCTCCAAGCAGCCCTGGGCACCATTGACACTGCCCTCTCCCCGCAGGCCGAGGAATTAGGCGCTCCCGGGCTGGGGAAACGGGGAGGCGGCTGGTGGGCAAGGGAGGGGGAGGGGGACCAGGCGAACTGTCCTGCCCTGCCCTGCGCAGAGGTCTGGGCTGGGAGGAACGCAGGTGGGCGGGCCATCTGTGAAACGGGAAGATTTCGGCTCGGGGAGCCAGCTCCAAGCTGCCCTCAGGGAGCTCCAGCCCAGGAAACGCGCGCTCCAGGGGAAATGACCCCTCCTGTGAAGATGGGGGAGATTTCTCATTAGGATTCTGGACCACAGTCCCTGGGCCACCGCCTGCCGGAGCCTCATGTGCCCATAGGTGGCAAGGGGGCCTCCAGGTCCTTTCACTCACGATGCCTGGCCCTGGGGGCATCTGAGACGGAGATCTGGGACTTCAGCCGTCCAGGTGGGGTGTGCCCACAGAGGCAGGGGATGCAGACTCCCGGGGTTCACGGGTTAGCTGGGGGCCTCCTTAGACCTCCCCTCTCCCCCAAACACACGTAGAACGGGACTGAAATGAGAAAGTGCAGCTTATGGCACAAGCCTGATCATTGGGAAGCGCTAGGGCCCCAACAGGGCTAGGAGCAGGTCATCCATAACATGTATAATCTTAAGGAGAATCCCTTTGGGGATTCAGTTCTCAGAGATTCATCTTTGAAAGGAAGGAGTTTCAGATTCCTTCTGGGGAGAAGGTTTAGGACAGGATGGGAGGGAGCCTGTGGGGAACATTGAGTGAGGGGGGGTGAGGTGGGGGTGGACAGCTACCTCCCTCTGGATAGAGAAAAAGTGTCCCTAATTGGTTATGGAGGCAGTAAAGTCTCCACTCTCAGTTCTGCTTGGACTGCACCTGAGGGTTCCATGGGCTTTAATAACTGAAAGTGGCTCAGCGTTAGCCCCAAGGCCAAAGCAAGAGCGACCACAGTTTTGTTTTGTTTTCCTTTGGAGTGAAATCACAGCCCTTAAAGATGCTCATAATCACAGTCTCCGGAGCCTTTGACTGCACCTGAGGGTTCCATGGGCTTTAATAACTGAATGTGGCTCAGAGGTTAGCCCCAACCTCTCCTCCCAAGGCCAAAGCAAGAGCGACCACAGTGGTTTTTTTTTTTTCCTTTGGAGTGAGATCACAGCCCTTAAAGATGCTCCTAATTACAGTCTCCGGAGCGTTAGAGCACTGCCTCCTGTTCAGAGACTGGGCAGGCACTCAGGACCAGGAGGCTCCTACAAGGCCCTTTATAAGAGAGACGACCTGGCGCCCCCTCCTGGTGGAAGAAGCACATAAGGTGCTTCCCTCCAGGTGTGCAAGTAAAAAAAGGTGCCCCTTCCCTTGGATGGCGACAGGGCACAGGGATTCCAGCCTCACTGCCGTCCAGGCCAGCTGCTTCTAGCAGTGAACAAGCCGTACAGCTGTCCCTGACATTCCTGGCGGCCTTCACATACCTCATCTCGTTTTATGCTCACACAGTCCCAGGAGGTGCAGAGACTGTTGTCAGCCCTATTTTACAGCCGAAGACACTGAAGCTCAGAGGAGCCGAGCCACCTGCAGAGGTCATACAGCCGACAGAGCTAGAGTTTCAGCCAGTCTTCTGTGAGGTGTCCACTGCCTTAGGCCCCGAGGGCAGGGTTGGGGGACCCCTGCTTCAGTACCTGGCCCATATACAGGGCCCCTCACTGCCTGAAACATCCCAATCCCAGACACCCACACGGCTCACTTCCTCCTCTCCTTGTCCAGAGGTGGCCACTTTCTCGGGGAAGATTCCCCTCTCTACATAGCAATCCCTCCTCCAGCCATGCCTTACCCTCTTTACCCGCTTCAGTTTTCTTTATAGTCCACCCTGAATACTGTGTTTTGTTTGTGTGTTCATTGCCTGTTTCCCCCACTTGAAGATCAGCCCCACAAGGAGAATTTGATCTATTTTATTCACTGCTATATCCCTACCGTCTGGGCCCCGAAAAGTTATTCAATGAATCAATGATTCATAAAATAATAAAATGACTAGTTTTCACTGGCCAGCAGAAAGAGACATTATAGTTAGTCATAATAACAATGGTAATACTATTTAACACAAGGTTTCTCACCCTTGGCACTCTTGGGGGTTAGGTAATTCTACTCGAGGTTGTGTTGGGGGGAGCTGACCTGGGCATTGTAGGATATTGAGCAGCATTCCTGGCCTCTATCCATTAGATGCCAATACTACCCCCACTCCACATTGTGACAACCAAAAATATCTCCAGACTTTGCTAAATGTTCCGTGGAGAACAAAATTGCTTCGAACTGAGAACCATGATCTAACAGGAGCAGATGACTTGCAGTGCACCAGGCCCTATTCTAAGCAGCTTACACACTTCATTGCATTCCCCGGGGGTGGAGAGACTATTTTCAAAAGGGAATCTTGAGATAAGGGCTGGGGTACAGGGAGTTTATGTAGCAGGTGACCCCAGGAAGTTCCAGTGAAGGAGCAGAGAGGTGAGCCTGTGGGCCTCCAGGCCTTTAGGAGTCTGCAAATGGATGGCAGGCCTTAACCAAGTTTCAGTTTTCCAAAAAGTATAGCAAAATGTGTACACTTCCCTGCTGCTCAGAAACCTTTGACCAATGCAGAGGAGCATACAAATAGTAAGTATTGATATATTTCCTATTGGTAAAAGATGGCATTGAAAACATTTTCTATTGTGTGGTGGGAAGCAGAAGGGAAAAACCAGAAGATTAGAAATAGTGGCTGTGGAACGTAGTCATGCCACCCCTCTTGTTTGGAAATTGCAAATTATTGGTTTGTTCCTCCTGCTGTTTCAATTTCCACGCTGTGAGGTGATCCAGCATTTTTACCAATACCCATCTATGTACTTTCAAAGGCGCTAGACAGCACATGAACCTCTTTAATTTTGTCATATTTCTGACTCAGAGTAAAGCAGAGGTCAAAAGCAAGTGTAATCTCAGACCAATTTCATTTGATCTCCAAAGTGCTTTAAAATTTTTTAATTACTAGTTGCCAAACATTTAAAAACCAGAAGATTTATATTAGTTAGATTTACAGCTTAAAACAAAAATCAGCTCTGGAAACACTGGGAATGGCTGGCCGAAGCTGACCAACAGCTGACCCACTGAGGCAGAAACACTCTCTAGTTTGCCATTTCTGTTTGTCTGACCGAGCCTGGTTTTCTCCTTTATATTATCTATCTGCCTCCGGGAGGTATTTGGGCTTTCAACCCCTGCTTTGGATTTTTGAAGACCTTCCAGTCTACTAAGTGGGTCACTCTTCTGGTTAAAAATGTACTGGTTATAGAACAAGCTGTGCTGCTGTAACAAAAAGACCCATAAACTCAGGGGCCCAACCTATGAGGCCTTTACTTCTCCCTCAGTTCATAGGCCAGAGGTAGACAGATGGTTCATGGCAGCCAGGTGGCTCTGATCCACAGTCATCCAAGGACCCAGGTTCCCTCCATCTTGTTGCTCCACAAGATCAAAGTGGCTCCCAGCCTGTGGGAAGAGGGAGAGAGAGACAAAGGGGAGAAAACAGGCATTGATGCAAGAGCAAGACCAGAAGTTACATCATCATTTCTGCTCACCTTCCATTGGCCAGAACTCAGTCACACGGCCACACGTAGTTGCCAGAGAGTCTGGGAAATGTAGTCTCCAGCTTGGCCACACAGTGGCCAGCCAAAACTCAAAGTTCTGTTACTCAAAGGAAAGGGCAAGTGTATGCTGGAGAACCACCATTGTTTCTCCCCCAGAGGCTGGGGCATTTCTCAGCTGCCTGAGGAGGGCCTCAATTTAACCATGTATTACTTTGTTAGTTGTAGATTGGCTGGTCGAGCCGAAACCTCGATGGCTTGGTGGCAACGGCTGGCTCCTGGATGGCCCTGAGGAGGTGTTACAAGGTACCGACAGGATCAAGCCCACACCTGACGTCATAGCCAGGATCCCCCTTCTCAAGCCACCAGAATACTGATAACAGGGGCTGCCTCTGCTCTAGCAGGCTGCCGGCCCCCAAATACTCAGACCTCTTGGAGCCTCCCCCACCCCAACACAGAGGGGGCGGGTGGGGCTTGGCCAGGCTCTCACATCCCCAGGACAGCATAGAGTTTGACTCTCCCTGGGAATGGGGCCTCCTTCCTGGTGGAGAATTGAGAGGGAGGGTGCTTGGGGATGGTTTACAGATCCCTAAAATCCCAATAAGGGGCTTGCTGCCTCCTGATGATGGGTGGAGACCAGTTTCCAAAAAGAACCACATGCAGGCCCAGGGCCTAGAGAACTGTAGGGTTCAAGGGTGTACCTTCACATATGTCATGTGCGTGTGATTCTGCACACTTCTGTGTGTGTCACTGTGTCCATGAGAGTATACAGCTGTGAAAGAAACTGGGTGTGTATGTCTGAATATTTGTGCATCTGTGTTCATGTAAATGTGTGTAACTATAAGTGTGAATGTGTGTGCGCGCGCGCGCGCAGGATTTGTGTGCATGTGAACATGCGTGTGGGTGGCTGTATGTGTAGTGTATATATGTGTGTTAGGACTTGTGGGGGTGGTAAAAATGTGTGTGTGATGTGTGAGTGTGTGTGTAAATATGTGTGTACACATGTGACTATAAGCATGAGCATATGTGTTTCAGAGTGTGTGAGTGAACATGTGTTTGCACAGCACTATGCATCCGAGGGCATGTTTGGGATCACGTGACTTTGAACTGCTCCCTGTGTGTGTATGTGTGCACGTGTGCATATGTGTACACGTGCACACATGACACTGTGAGTGAGACCCAAGGCTCAGCCTGGAACCTGGGGGCACAGTCCAGAGGTGGCCCCTCTGGATAACGTGTTCACTGCGCTCACTGCCTCCTGGAGGGGCTGCCCCTGAGACCCTGACATGTGTCCTTCCCACAGCAGAGACCTGCAGCACCACAGAGGATGGGGCGGAGCCACTCCTCTGTCCCTCAGGCTACGAGTGCCACATCCTGAGCCCGGGGGACATGGCCAAGGGCATCCCCAACCGCGGGCAGTGCGTCAAGCAGGGCCCAGCAGGTGAGTGTGGGTGCCCAAGCCCCGCCCCCACCTCACCCTCCTATAACCCCCACATGTCGGAGCCTGGCTAAGGGCTCTTTCTGTCCTACCACCCTGATCCTCCTTTCAAATCTTCCATCCTTTCCCCCGCGCCAGCCCTGCCGCCTCCTCGCTGGGTGACCTTGGGGTCGAGTGCTTCAGTCTCTGAGCCTCGGGTTCCTTGTCTGTAAAATGGGGCCACTTCATGCTATTATGAGGGTTCATTTAAATCCTACATAAAAGCCTCAGTAAACGTCTGATATTTTATATCCATCTGTGTATCTATGTTTTGAATTATCTGAGAACCCTTAATTTCTGCTAGGACCATTCAATGCGGCTTAATAAGTCTGTCTTTGGGGAGGAAGGCCGTAAATAAAGCGGTGAGGAGTATGAATAGCATCACTTTAGTTTGCATAATTTTCCCAAGAGTGGAAGGACTGGATGGTGGTACCTAAAACCCACATGTGCCTCACGCAAGACGTGAGGTTGAGAGGTTTGGTGTGGATTTGCAAGAAATGTGTGGCAAGCGAAGAATCTGGAACTTCAGGGAGATGTAGGGCAGCTTATCAAAGGAGAGCTCATTGGAGCTTCAAGTCCACATACTCCAGGCCCATGTCCCCACTTCTGCCCTCTGAGTCAAGATCAAGGATAATTACAGTGACCCTACTGGCCAAAAAAACACATCAGAGTGCATGGTCAGCCAAAGCTTTCGCCCCTGCCATTTGAGAAATTTATTTCTCTCAAGTGTTTCAAGAAAGACATGCACATTAAATCAATTGCACATTTAGCATCATTATAATTGCAAATAAGAAAATTATGAGACATTAGAACTGTTTTGAGAATCCTGATCACTGGAATTCTGAGCTTTGAAACAAATTGAACCAATGAGGCATAATTGTGATTTCTCCAACATTCCACTTGCTTTTTGGGTTACTGGCAGGTTCTGCAGCCAGACAGCCTGGGATTCCAGTGGCCACCGGCCCCTCACTGCTGTGTGTCCCAAATAGTAGAACCTTCCCAGGCCCCATTTGCCCTATCTGTAAAATGGGCTTTAAGAGTTAAGCGGCCATGCCTCTTGCTTCAAAGCACAGAACAGCATCTGTAGACGCCAAAATCAAACCTTAGGAAGATGGGGCATTGGCCCACCAAATGCAAAACCCCGAGGGCAGGCCAGCCTGCAGGAACACGCTGGAGTACGAGAGAAGCAGCCTTTATCAAGAGCGAGCTGCGGGGTGAGTCAGGAATCCTTTGGACTGTAATGTCATTTTTCATAACTGGAAAGGCCTGGAACTACTCCACCTCTATCATCCCCTGATCTTGCTCATTTAGTTATATGAAAGCCACTTCAAGGCCACAGATAAGCAGAGAGACCGATGAAATGATGCCTGCTCTTGATGGAGTGCCTCAGAGACACTGCCTTTACGCTTTATCGCCAGCCTGCAGGAGGAGTATAACCAGAAGGCAGCGTCAGGTATGCTTAGAGTGCAGGCTCAGAGCCACTGAAATGGGTTCGAACCCTACAGCTTTCTTCCCTGGTGACCTTGGGCAGGAACCTAACATTTCCTAGCCTCAGTTTTTCCATCTGTAAAAGGAGCTAGTGATGGTCATGATGGTAATTGCTTCATGGGATAGTGACAGGTTAGAACGAGAGAGCACCTGAAAGGCCCTTAGAGCAGCGCCTGACACATAGTAGGTCTTCAAGGAATGTATGCCGCTATCTCTCCATCTTACATAAAAAGGAGGACAAGTTCAAGACCTTGCCCAGACAGTGCATACAGCTAACAAGGAGCAGAGTGGGAATTCGGAGCCTGTTCACCTGCTCCAAAGCCCGTGGTGTGTGTGTGTGTGTGTGTGTGTGTGTGTGTGTCCTCCCCTCCACAGGAAGATCTGAGCCTTGCAGATAGGAATGCAAATGAAATTTCTACCGTTGGCCCCAGGGGGATTGTCACTTAACCAGAATTGTTGGTACTTCTTGGGAGTTTGAAACCACCCTGAATTCCAACAACTTTCCTTGGAGCAAAGGTCTCAGAGGGGAGAGGGGCACTGTTGAAGCAGACGGATCAAGGAAGAAGCCTTTTATGTTATTTTTTTAAAACTACATATTTTAGACTAACAGAAAGTGAGAAGAATAGTACCTTGGACCCCCTGACAGTGATTGGCCGACTGTGTCATGAGCAGGCATGACCAGCCAGAACTCATCCCAAGGAGAGGGAGGAGCAGGAATGTTTCAGAGAACCTCGGTCCTGGAAAAGGTCCTAGAACCTGGCTTATTGCAGATAAGCTATCCACCCCAGCGTGCAGGTTGCCCCCCTTGGCCCCTGTTGCCTGTACAATAGCTGTCAGTGCTGGTCCCAAACACCCAGATGGTGACCATAGCACAAAAAATGAAACAAAATGTCCAGCTAGGCATAAGGTGATTTTTTAATTGAGATAAAATCTATATATATAAAGAGCCAGGGGCAGTCACATCCGAAACAACTGAATGGACGACCGAACAGGCTGAGTGGGGTGACAAGGCCGGCAGGGGGGTTAGTGAGGGACGACCAAACAACTGAGCACCAGGCTGTGTGGTGCGACCAGGCCAGCAGGGGGGCATTTGGGGGTGACTAGGCCTGCAGGGGGGGCCAGTGAGGGGCGACCAGGCTGAGGGGAGACCAGGCTGGCATGGAGGGCAGTTGGGGGCAACCAGGCCAGCAGGCGGGGGGCCAGTAAGGGTGACCATGCTGGCGGGGCGGCAGTTAGGGGCAACCAGGCTGGTGGGGGGCAGTTCGCATTGGCAGTTGGAGGTGACCAGGCAGGCAGGCAGGTGAGCAGTTAGGAGCCAGTGGTCCTGGATTGTGAGAGGGATGTCTGACTGCCAGTTTAGGCCCAGGGTTAGGCCTAAACCAGCAGTTGGACATTTCCTGAGGGGTCCCGGATTGGAGAGGGTGCAGGCTGGGCTGAGGGGATCCCACCCCCCGCCCCGTGCACGAATTTCATGCACTGGGCCTCTAGTTGACATATAACATGGTATGAGTTTCAGGTGCATAAATGTGATCTGTTTGTGTTGCAGCTGTCAGACATGGCTGAGCTGCTGCAGGGGAGATGTGAGCTGCCCAATATTGGCATTGGCATGTGAAATATTGTGTTCTGACCAGATGTCCACTCTCCCCCAAATGTTTTCCTGCTGTGGGGGCTGAGGGAAGAGGTGGGGTTAATGGCACTCAACAGGGAGAAGCCATTTGAGACATAGGAAATTGCCAAAAGTTGACCACTTTTTAACACACAAAAATGGCAATTTCATATGGTTCCTCCTAATATTTGCATATATGTGTTGTAAATGAAATTATTTCTTTTCATCCTCACAATAACTGAAGAGGTAGTGATTTTATGCCCATTTCCAGGTGAGAAAACTGAGGCTCAGAGAGGATTGGTGAAGCAGTTAAGTGAAGATTCATTCTCGAGTTACTTTGTCATTTGCAGTAATGACATTTGAATCTCTTTTGAAAGGACTAAAACAATACCATTTACTCCCCATGTGAACATATTTTGTAATGACACTTGCTAAACAATATGCTGAAATTTTGCTTCCAGTTCATCATTGGGCTCAGGACCCCTTTATACTAAAAAATAATGAGGATCCCCCAGAGCACTTCTCTGTGTGACTGTGATATTTCCCATATTAGAAACTAAAGCTGGGACACTAAAAATATTTATGTATTAATTCATTAAAATAACAATGATAAATTCATTATGTAGTAAACAGAAGTAACATTTTTTTTAAAAAAATTTAACATTTTTTTCAACAGAAAAAAACACCAGTGAGAGGAATGGTATGGTTCTACGTTTTTACAATTCTGTATGTGAATGAAGAGGGCTGGATTCTCACATCTGCTTCTGCATTGAATCAGCTGCAATACCAAAGCCATGCAGCCTCTGGCTGAGTCTACTGTGCACTCTCGGTAGAATGAGAATGAAAAACACAAGCAATTCTTTAGAATTCGCATGAAAGTAGTTTGGGCCGGATGAAATTCCTGAAAGGCGTTTAATCCTCTCACTTGTTTTCTAGAAGAGCCGCTCCGAAGACATACAGCTCACAAAAAATATCCAGGTAAGAGAAGAAACCATTTTTGCTTTACAGAGTCCTAAAAAGGACAATGATCATTCTTGGGTGGAGAAGAAAAATAAAGGCCCAGGGACTCTCAGGAGAACTATAGTGTGAAGCTGCTGAGAAGGGAAGTGGCCATACCCTCCCCAGGTGCTTTTATGCCATCAGATGACACTCTGGGGTTGAGGGGGTGGGATGCCAAGATATGTCTGTTCTGAAAGTCTCTCCAACCTGGGCAGTCCTCCAGGTGGCATCTGACATGGACGGGAGCCA